AAAACTGTGCTTCCAAGCAGTTCTGCAATCAAAGCTACTGCTCCTTCTACCATCTGTTACACCATATCAGCTCTTTTGAAAACAAGTTTAGCTTTGCACATAAAGCAAAGGTTGCTAGGTGTCCTTTAAGCAATGAATAATAACATGTTCTCTGCACAATTACTGTACTTCCTGAGAACAGCAGTGATTTTCAGAGAATTTGAAAAGTAAATCTGTTAATAAGCTTAGGAATTAATATTAATTAAACACAAGTTCTTTCAGAAATTTAGCAAAAACCACAAGACATTTTTTTCCTTTTGATTTTGTTAGAATACTATTAGCTGTTCAAATTACCCCCAGACAACTGCGGTTTTGTTTTTGCTCTATGTTCACATACTGTTTGAAGCAGGAACTCTTATTTTTGCTAAAATTCTCTCTTGGCAGATGCCAAAACCAGAATAATTTCCTACTAAGAATGGTAGGAAGAACAGCCTTCTATGCAACGTACTTCCATATCTCCCAGTCTCAGTGGGAGGAAAACCACTCCAAAACCTCTCCTCAGTTGATGGCCATTTTCAGCACGGTACCTCTGTCATTCACCTCCCTACCCTAAACATGTATTTACAGGTCTCATATGGCTTAGATTTACGTTGCAGTTATAGCTATTACAATTTAAGGATAAGATAGAGGCAAAATTTGTCAGCAAAAAGGACAGGTTTTTATTAGATTGATTTGTCTGGAGAAATACAGACAAGCTCTCCAGTTCAGTAACTCATCAGGTCAAGTTAAGGATGTTTTCTGGTTTTATTACACAACTGTCCAAAACTTACGCAGCATCCCTGAAACACTATACCTAAGGCTACATACTAATCCCTCTAGCTAAAGATGAATGTTGATATTTTGAAATCTAGTAAATTACAAACTGGTGATGCATTATACAATGTCTGCTCAGCAGTCATTGATACCTTTTAAACGTGATTTGACTGCAAAATCATCGTCCAGTTTCTGAAAGGGACATGTATTTTAAAACTCCCTTTAAGTTCATCAAAACCACTGTGAATTAAAATTGTGTGTCAAACCAACAGCTGCAGAGTAACTGAGAACACTGCAATCTGCATCATGTTATATGCAGTTACGTAAAAAGCTAGCTTTTTAGTTGGAATCACCAGCACAGGACAGCATCTGTGTCAGTCCCACTTCCCTCCTCTATCTGTAGCAGAGCAGCAGTAAGAGACAATTGGAATTATAAAACCTACAAAGCAGACTCAAGGGTTCTTGTCTTAGGCATTTTAAATTAATGTGAAACGCAAAGCTAGAACAGAGAGTCACGGCAGAGTCTCCCAAGGGCCCAGACTGTCAAAGTATGAAAATGGATTGGTTGATTTATATATTTGCTAACTTCTCCTCTGAGTCTTTAGCAGTAACTAGGAACAGTGGTTTAACACTTCAGACATGAAGCTGTCACTTACATGCAAGTGACATTTCCCCCCTTCGTATATGCTATTTTTTCTGTGACTGTGTCCCTCTTATGTCCCAGTGAGACCCTCAGATCGGAGACAGAAACACTGCTAGAGTTTAAAGAGTTCAAAGAGCTGAATGTAAATTAGTCCTCCAGTTACGCAGAAAACGGGCTTTACACAATAGCTGCTCACAACTATGAGATCCTCATGCCTTCATCCTGACCTGGAAAGCATCAGATGCCTATACAGATGGAAAAACCAGTCTGTGATGTCAGGAAAATGCCAGCAGCAGCACCACTGTGGCAGGCATCTTTGGGACCAAGGCTAGCAAAATTCCTTCCCACAGGTTTCCAGAGAGCTGTTAGGTAGCGTGAAGTCAGTAGCATAAAACAGTGTTAAAAGCCTCAGTGATTTACTTCCAACTTCTTTCCTTGGTTGTGACACCCCAGGTGTTAAGACACAATCAAATCACTTTACTTCCTGTGCTTTAGTTTCTCCTTCTATTAAGCAGATATTGACCTTTCTCTCTTATGCATTCCGAGACATATGAATGAAAAGCAGTATGTAAAAGCTGATTGTTATTACAGCTACTAATAATAACCCTTGAGCTGTGTAAGTCTCTCAGGTAAAATAATTCTGTATGACTAAGCAAATCTCTCAAATCCTTCCAAATCTCCACCTGAACTTTACAGTCTAGATGGTGAAGGCAGGGCAGGGAAGAGGGGGGCGATGGAAAATCATTTCCTCTTCACTGGAAAAAGAAACTATTCCGAAAGGAAAAAAATGCATGAAACACGTGTACCTTGGCAGTGGAGATCTGTTTCGTAACACAACTCCCCCAAAACAGTTTTGCCTTTTTGTTCAAAATAATTCAGCTTTCATTACGTGTTTAGTTCTGAGACCTTTAGTTTATGTCCTTAACAGTTGTATTTGTAGTAAGGAGACAAACCATACTGATTAAATGAGAACCAGTTTCTTTCTCTGAACACTCTTCTAAATGTGGATGTTGGGTCTTCCTGAGGTTCAGAAAGATTTGAAAAAAGGCTTCATCCTCCCAGTGAGTGGACACATTAAGTGATTTTATCCAATATTTTCAAAATTTGCAATTCTTCTCCCCTCACTTGCTTTTCACAACTAACTTTTTTTTTTTATTTTTTACAACAACACAGGGAACAACTACTCCTTTACTCAGAGCTGGAAGCTATGCAAGGGGAACAGTCTTTGGAAGTATACTTCCAAAACAAAACTCAATTCATGTCTTTCCTACTTCAGAAATGAGAGCACCGTGCTTTCGACAGGAGTCAGGAGCTTAAAAACAGAGTTTGCAGAGGACAGAGATTCTTAACTCCATGCCGCTACTGAATGGAAAGCAATTAGGAGACCCTAAGGCTAGCTTACCATCTTTGAAACCCCACTGAGATAAAGTCTAATGTACACCTGGATTGCATTATGTACATACCAAATATTGTAAGAGCCAGCAGAAGAATTATCTAAAAGCAGTGATACAAGCTGTTCATTCTGAATGGCAGAGTACTGGCTAAAGGGACACCTTCCAACCATAGTTACTATACGCTGTTATTAGCTTGCTGCTATCCCAGTGTAAGACCTCAAGACTTCTGAAGGTAATAGGTTGACTCTCACTGACTTCAAAAACAAACCAGGATTTTTACTTACTGTAGCTTTTTGTCTCTGGAGTCCACACACACTCAGTTGCTGATTAAGCACTACATCACGAAAAACCCCCTTCAAACCTACTTTGTTTCAAAACTAAAATTAAATAGATCATTCCTACTTTTCTTTTGTCAAAGCAAGAAGTGACCAATGATCACTTAATGTACAATTCAGACAGAAAGTAATTTCATATCAGGATAGACTTAACTCAGAATGAAAAGTATTTTAGGTATAAAGTACAGTATGTCAGAATGCCACAGACATGAGGAAAAATGGTCTTTTAGCTGGGACAGAATTCTGTACATTTTAAAAGAACATAGTTGTCTTTGAATCTTCATAATAATTGGTCCCTATTCCCTGCTCAACTGTAACATTATTTAACAACTCGAATCCATAATTAAGTTCATCATCCCAGTAGAATTTTGAAAAGAGGCTTAATTTTCTGCAAGAGAAATGGCGCCATTGCGGCCTGCCTAGCTGGGTAGCAAATCAGTGACTCAGCAATGGGCAGCTGAAAGCAGATTGTTTTTAATCTTTTAAACCCTAATATATGCATATGTTGAAGGGTAGTCTTTGTGGCCCTGGTAATATTTATACTGCACAACATGTATGTTCATTTTTTGCATGTAGTACTTTGATTAAAAAAAAACCCAAACGTTAACTGTTTATAAACATGCTGGAGTACAGTACAGAAAGCTTAGACTAAAGTTTTGGAAACCTGTATTAAGATATAGATAGGCTTTTACATCAAATGTATATGAAATACTGGACTACTATCAGACTGCAAATTCTAATATTTGCTTTTTATATGCAAGCCACAATACCAAAAGTTTTTGTTTTGTTTACAAATTACAAACAATGGGTACAAAAAAACCTCACTGATCCTTATTAACAATCCATATTCTTGATGGCTATTAATGGCTTTTGTTGAGGACTCATAAGCACATGCACTGGAAAGTACATATAATTTGAGCACCTAATGTATTTTGCTAGCATTAGGAAAAAAAGTTCAAGTTTTAATTAGTGAAACCCATTCCAAACTGACAAAATCACAAAATCTGAAATCTAGTATCCTAGGAGATTTTCAGATCTGTCTAGGTTTGGGTCTGCAGATTTGGATCTCTGCATACAGTTTTGGTTCTTGATTAATCACAAATTAGAAGAGCTTGCTTTCCAGTTTATGAAGAGCACCGCCAGATTCTCCCAAGAATTAAGCATGAACAGCCACTAGTCTTGAAAACGCAAATCATTGCACACAGACTTTTACTTCTGCTTTTCATGATTTACAGAAGTATAACCCCAGGCTGTTGTCACTACCATTAGTTAAGTAAACCGTGTTAATAAAATGAAAAACCTCTGTGCTCCCCAGCGTCCCAGGCATTATTTTTTGTTTATGCTTCCTCATATCTCTCCTTAACAATTCTTTTGCAACCAAGAGATAGGGACAGCCATGCATTTCATTGCAATTCTTTCCGTTTTATTCTACTGGCATTTAGAGTTTCCTTCCTACATAAACACACAACACTTAGAAGCTGGTGTCCAACAGTAATGCCCATTGTACTATACTCATGTTATGAAGCTTAGAATTTGTGCATTTTATTAAAGAGATTTCTGTAAAATAGAAACCAAAATTACATGAAAACTACTTCAAATTTTGACACTTGAAATTATACTCAAGTTCTACCTCCAAAAATCCCTCATTATTTCATGCACAACCATCACTTTAACCCAGTATCCAGGCCACAAAACCTATATATAGGTTATATCGGGTAATCTAGATCTGAATATTGCCTCTTTGAACTCTTAACAGAAACGACTGAGAGAAAATAGTGTAACTTTATAACTTGTCACATATATAGAGTCAATATTTATGGTTTCAAAAAGACTTACCTTGAGAAACAAGGCTCCCTTGGAAGCCAAGGAGTCCGTTCCTCTTCCATTGGGGTAACAGTGATAGGCAGCATCCATAACAGGATAGCGGCTGGCAAAAAGTAGACCACTGTTCACAAACTTAAAGCTACAGCAGCCATGGCAACTGTAGACCCCAACATCATAGACAATGTATTCAAAATAGTGATGAAGCTGCTCTTTCAATTTCTCTGCAGCTCTTTTGTCAAACACTTCCTGCAAACACAGAAAGTCCAAGTTGGCAGGGAAGAAAGCAGAGATCTCATGATCAAAGGTCTCATCTGTATGTTTCTTTTTCCGCACCGAAGTCTTCTTCATGATTGAAGCTTTGTAGAGGAGCTTGTTGTTGACAGTGCTTTGGTCCACTGTACCATCTCCAACGCGAACTTTAACTAAGGACTCTCGTGAGGCAGAGTAGCTGTCTAAACTCCCAGAATCTCCTTCCTTCTGTTTATGGTTAGGCGTTTTTGAGATCTCTGTGTCACCTTCCAGTGAGGGCTCTGCTGGGCCACTGGCATGAGCCTGGCCATTGACGGTGTCTGTTTCTGTGTCTGACATGTGGCCATTATCCTCTCCATTTATGCGGACGATGCAAGTGTTTTCTTCTCCCTCATTTGGCTCTCCAGGTCCACCTTTATCTTCTCTAATATCCTCACTGTTGTTTGAGCCAGAATTGTCTCCTTTATACTCCATTGATGTTGTCCTTTTGATGCCAGCATTAACAGTACGATTACTGTTATCTCCACCCTGGGGTGAAACCAAGCTGCTAAAACTTGCTGCACTGATGGATGTGTTGGTAGGAGAATCTATATATATTTTGATCTGTGGTCTGCTTGCCCCATTTCGGATCCTCCGGCCAATCTCTTTAGCCCTAGCCTGTGTATTGAAAACATTATTAAATCTTGCCAGAGAATCTGGCAGCAGGCAAACATTGGCACTACCGAAGCAGAAGCTTTTCCCATTCCCTGCAGCCTTCCATTCAGTGAGCAGCGTGGCTCCATTCGCATGGTTCTTGTCTTCTAGTCTGGAGTAGATATATGGCCTTCTAGCTGACTGGAGTGGGGACCATAACAAGAAGCCAATCAGAGCAAAAGGAAGAGAGGCTACCAACAGTGCCAAGTAGATGGGAGTGGTAATAATGATGCAGAGTGCATGGAAATAGCATGGATCATCTGCTCTTTGACGTTTTTCATAGGTGGTCGGAACAAAAGAGGCCACAAGCCTATCTGCTAACCAGTAACATGGGAAAATCAGGCCCCAGGAAAAAGAATGCAGAACTGACAGAAAGCTGTTGGGAAATGGGGAAGTGTATAAAACCATTGCAACTCAATTATGACAACACTTCAGGGCCTACTACATGATGTCACTGTGTCACGCATCCATAAGAACACTGGCAGAGGGCTGGGGAAAAAAGTTCCAGTCAGGGGTTTGGGTTTTTTTCCAGTGAGAGTCAGTAACAAAACTTGAAGAGCACCATTTCACTGTCTTGGAGTAAAAATGAAACAAGGCCACTGTTTTCGTCTGGCTTTTTGGCATCTATATTTGTCAAAGGATGTCATTGTTCACTGGAGGCTGCCATAACGAAACACTCTGGAGGCAAAAAGGAAATCTGTAAAAACAAAAGACGCAAAACATATGTAACAGTTATTAAAAGTTTAAAGCAGATTTTTCTCATACCAATTTTGCCTTACAGTCTAAATTATTTCCTTTTTTTTTTTTTTTTTTGTTTAATTTAGCATTTTTCATAGTCTGTTAAAACTATGGCTCTAAGGCAACTCTCAAGAACAAGAGACTGGTATTTCTGCAAATGAAAACATTTGACCATTGACTGTTTCATGCATATGACTAATGTTATCATGAAACATATTTCTGTTATGAATTTTAGGTCTTAAATTGAGAAATATAGTTCAGAGTTTCTTTTATTTTAAATCCATTCACACTTATATTTATTTATATTAGCTGTTTTCAGAACCTTGCAAATGGTGTTTAGCAGTTATCTCTAGGCTGCTCTAAAAGACTATTACATCGAGTATTTTAACACTGAAGTTAAATTTGCTTGAATTGCCAAAGTCCTTAAAAAAAAAAAAAAAAAGTGATGTCGTGATAGAGTTACAATGGCAAAGGCACCTTGTATTTAAGGGCAGAAAACATTCGTTTGCTATAAAATATTATTTACTTTGCTGTGATTTAAAACAAGATGGGTTGATTTAAATCAATTAAAATACTCTTCATATGGTTGCATATGGTTTCAAATTTTTAATTTTCAGTTTATTAAAAATAGTAAGTCAAACTACTTTGCTTTAGGTATTTAATACTCATTATTTATTTCAAGCCGTAGTTCAATTTCATTCAGCTACAGCCCACAAAAACTCTTGATATGACTTCCTATTAAAGATTTCTTATATATAGGGAATACTTAAGCAAAATATGAATTAATCATAATTAACATTGTTTTTAAATTCCAATTTTCAGCTTTGAAGGAAACAATACTAATTGAATATATCAAATAAGAAAAACAGTTTCACATCTTTCCTCCGAAGACAGATGATGTCTTTCAAAAGTTGTCTTACCAGTTGGGAAATTCTGACCTGAGGTATTTAGCAAATGTCATGATTAACCAAAGACATTAAATTAGAGGCCTGATCTTGTAAAAAAAGCTTGGTAGTATACATACAGCTTGCTTACTTTTAAAAAGTAATTTAAATCATCTCAACGACTTGTAGTAATTTGAGGTTTTAACACAGGCTTTGATAATATAAAATGTAAATTATTTTTAAAAAAGGCAAGTACACATATTAATCAAACTTTATCAGCCTTGAGAGTGGTATCACCAATAAATGTAATGCCACTCTCCATAAACTTAAACTGTGACATTACTCAGTAAGAGGAACAAAGCTAGATGACTGATGAAGGCAGAATTCCCATTTATAATGTTTCAAGTTTCAAACCTAGAATGTAAATAATATTAAGCAGCACTGGATAAAAACTATTCACCAAATAAGCAAAAGAAAGGATGTACACTGGACCATGCTTCAAAACTCATCTTTATTTTTGACATCTTGGAGAGATGAAAATTACATATGAATATTTATTGGTATAAGTTCAATTAAAGTTTGGGGCTCTCAGGAAGCCAAAATTAAGGAAATGGTACTTTGATGAGTATTTTAAACATTCTGCAGGGCACCCAGAGACAGAAGGGTATTATCTATTTACTAGCCAACAAAACAATGATATGGGACACAGAAGTGAGAAATACAGTTTTATAAAACAACGCTGTCTTAGAATCACAATAAAAATGCAATTCTTCAATTTTCTCTCACCTTTAGATATCTTCCTTCTTCAAACCAAGCACTTACAACTGATTTATGTTCCTACTGTCAGCGTATTTTTAATTGTGGTACACATGCAGTATCAGACTGCCAACACAGAGTATACTGTATAGGTCAGAAGTGATAAGTAAAGCATTAAAATACATGGCTTAACTAGCTCTCATTTTACTACATATACTTTTTGTTTATTAATGATAAGAAAATTCTTCCCTCAATCCAGACTCCAAAGACTGGTAAGACTAAGAGTAGTCACAGTACGTCAGATTTGCAGCCATACATTTTTGGTAGGCACCATGGCAAAGAAGAATTTTAATAAAGGACCAGATGAAGATGAGATAGTTTTGCAGATATTTCTTCCCAGAAGTGAAAGGCACCCCTGGGGTAAGCAAGCGTCACTCTGAAAAATCTTGTAAGATGGTGACAGAGGCTAGTAACAAAAACTGACTGGAGATAGGAACCAAATTCTAAAATAGAATGAGAAAAATGAGGTTGGGTGGGGACAAGATTATAAAGACCTTCAAAAGCAAAACCAAGTAGTTGGTATACCCAAATACTATAGAGAAGGAAGAGTCAGTAAGCACATGCATTAAAAAGGATGGCAGTCTTACAATAGGAAACTGCTTTTAACTACTGTGTCCTGGGCGTGCAAGGCAGGCTGTAACTTAGAGGTCTTATGTAGAATCTTCAAGATAGCAAATGATGCTTAATAAATATGCATGTACTGATATCAGCAAAAGATTGCCAAAACCTGACTAAAAATAAAAAAAGG